CCAAAGTGGGAGGATCACTTGAGCCTGCAAGTTTGAGACCAGCCTGGGCAACAGAGCGAGACCTGGTATCTTTTTTTTTAAATAAAAAATTATAAAAGTTAAATAAATATTAACAGCTTTTGATAAGTGGAAAGAATGAGCCAGAACTTTGCATAATTTTGTAGGTCACTTTTTTTTTTTGAGTCAGTCTCACTCTGTTGCCCTGGCTGGAATATAGCGATAAGCTCACGGCCACTGCAGCCTCGACCTGCTGGGCCCAGGCGATTCTCCTGCCTCAGCCTCTCATGTAGCTGGAACCACAGGCATGTGCTGCCATGCCCAGCTAATTTATTTTATTTTATTTATTGTAGAGATGAGGTCTCACCAAGTTGCCCAGGCTGGTCTCGAACCCCTGGGCTCAGGCAATCCTGTTGTCTCTGCCTCTCAAGGTCCTGGGATTACAGGCTTGAGCCTTTGTGTCCAGCCTGCATATCACTTTCTTATCCTGCCATTTTTGAGTCTTTAGTTTTTGTTTTTGAGTTGGAGTCTCCCGCTGTTGCCCAGCCTGGAGTGCAGTGGTATGCTCACGTCCACTGCAGCCTCGACCTGCTGGGCTCAGGTGATCCTTCCACCTCAGCCTTCCAAGTAGCTGGAACTACAGGTGCACGCCACCACACCCAGCTAATTTTTGATTTATTGTAGAGGCAAGGTCTTGTCAAGTCGTCCAGGCTGGTCTCGAACCCCTGGGCTCTGGTAATCCTCTCACCTCAGCCCCCCCATGGTGCTGGGAATGACAGGCGTGAGCCACCATGCCCAGTTAGTTTCTAACTCTCTGTCATGTGCTTGGAGATCTGTCTGTGAGAGGTACACGTGGATATTGTGTGAATGGCGGGTTCTTCCCTGCGAAGAGCTGAAGTCGGAGCTTCAGTGACCTGTGGCTCTTACGCCCCCAGCCCTCTCTCAGTGGCCATAAAACCCCTCAGGTTCTCAGCACAACTTCCCATCAAGCTGAAAGTGAAAGACTAGCTGACTCACTCCTTCCAGAAAGGA